AATTTAATATGTAATTTTGGCTCACTTGAAAATATCAATTATTTCATAAATGTCATGACACAACGCTTCAAATATCACAATAAACATGATGTATTATAAATACATTTAAGAGCTCCATCTACACTGACTTCCACAAACTCCTCATAGTCTCAATATAAAATGATATAATTATGTTCTGCAAAAATCACCAAATTAATCCCAACCAGTTCAAGAAGCACCAGAATTATATTGAAGTGATTCATATGGTTAATTTTCTTACTGTTGCACATGTTCAATTATTTTAAGTATAATACTATTTTAAAATTATTTTCTTCCATATTAAAATCAAACCTCGTCATGAAGAAATATTTCATTCCCATTCCAATCAAGACGAGTATTAATTTTGTCCACGCAACATCTTCTGAAATAAAGGGCACAATTTTTAATAAAAAAACAAAAATCACAGAATAAATATAGATGATGACAATTAAAGATTTAAAAATGTTTTCCTCTAGATAATCCATCTCAATACTGAGCAGCTGTGATTGGAAAACGTCACCTGAGGCTCTCAAACACTGTTTATGTCTGCGGGTCCGTGTCGTGATTTTCGGGTGTAAATAAAACTGAGGGTTAGAATAACGAGAGACTGCAGGAGGCCGGAGGTTTCAAAGATCCATTGTCCATTTAAACGTTTAATAGTCTTCCAAAAAATGCAATAAATTACATGCACACATTTACACATTTTACACGTTTCTTCTATGACTGTCATCAAATACATTGCATATTCCTCTGAAATCTGAACACGAGTCCCATAGAAGCAGGAGGAAAAAAAAAAGGAGGTTTGAAATGAACAACAGGGGTTTTTCAATATAACGTCCCCGCTCCAAGAGCAAGTGAGTGCTGTATCGAGTTAGGGGTCTGCAGGTGGGAGGCCATGGAGCCACCGGCCGAGGCGTACCACGACCCCGAGTTTTCCAAAAAGTTAGAGGCCGTCGTGTTGATGCTCTGTGGCTGTAGGCTGTGCGGCCTGGAGGGGCCCTGTGTGTCCCAGACGGCCGGGGACTGTGGTGAGTTGCACGCCATGGGATCGCTGGAGCTGGGGCTGTGCTCAGGTGGAAGCTCCCCGTTTTTCATGATCTTTTTAATTTTTGATCTCCTGTTCTGGAACCAAATCTTCACCTGGAAAAATAGGGGGGGAACACACCACCATTAATGTCTCAAATAGCCGAGAGCAGAAGCAACAGATCCAAAAGAGGCACAATGCGTAAAGATGCACGGAAAACTGGATGTTTTGATTCAATTTTAATTAAGTAATATTTAAAAAACGTGAACATTTTAATTCTTAAGTGAAAATAGTTAAAAAATTATTTCATTTTATTTTATCCCACCTGTGTTTGCGTGAGTCCCAACGAGGCAGCCAGCTCGGCTCTCTCCGGCAGCGCCAGGTACTGTGTGTTCTGAAACCGCCTCTGCAGGGCGGCCAGCTGGAAGCTCGAGTAAATAGTCCGGGGCTTCCTCACTTTCTTCGGCTTGCCGTTCACCATCCTCACCTCTGGCTCGCTTATCTCTTTTTCTGTCAAAGTGATCATAACAGGAATAAGCATGTGCTATACACCCTCTGTAAATTGAAGCATGGTTCAGGTTTAAATATCTTTTGGGGAGAGTATAAGTTGTCCGTTTTATGCGTTAAAAACCAAAGGAAATCCAAATGCCTTCAACCAAATTGATTCCAGTAATAAAGGGGCTAGCTCATATTTTCTCATAATGCTCAATAGTTTAGTCTTAATGTGTTGCTTTATATTCACTTTGCATATTTTAGCGATTATTGTTTGTTGCAGAAAAACAACAACCAGAAAATAAATAGTTAGATAAGAAATGCAGTGAAATTACTTTACACATGTTTTAAACAATCCAACAAGATTAGCGAATAATGACATAATAACATGCTCTTGTCATAATAATAATAAAAACCACGCGGGCCCTTACCTTGTGGACTCGGCTGGGCTTGGACTCTGCTGTAAGTCCCTGCATACTGGTGGTAGGCGGGTGTCGTGTACGAGCTGTAGTCGGTGTAGGATTTTGTCGAGTAATTTCCAGCGGACGCGTTCACACCCGGGTACTGGTACTGGTAGGCATTGAGCGGCTTCCCGTACGAGGTGGAGCCCGGCGAGCAGTAGCCGTGTGGGACTCCGCCGGCGGGACTGTAATAGCCGGAATCCGTGGCGCTGGACTCGGGTAAAGTGGGAGATTCCTGAGACGGGTGGTGCATGGCGGAGAGTTGGAAGGAGCTCTGGAAGTCTGCGGGTTTCACACTCGGGATCCTCCGGTCGAATACTCCAGTCATACTTCGAGGGCGAAGGCGTGGGTTTGTTTTGATTTCGTATTTAATTCGCAACAAAACGGAGGCAGTTTGGTCCAAAAAGCGCAGAGCATGGAGACTAGAGCGCGGGCATCGTCTAAAGGCTCTCAGGCCGTCGGGCTCTGGTGTAGACTGCAGCCAGCCCCGCAGCAAAGACTTGGTTAAATCCTAAATCGCGCTCTTACGCACTGCAGGGAGGATCTGGTTCCATTGGCCAAGGCGCGCACACACACACACGCACACATAGACACAGCTACACCCAATTCACTCAGCCAGCTTTCTTATAAGGGGGGAAACCACCCGGGCTATGGGGCTGCATTGTTGTGTTTTTATTCTATCTATCAATGGCAGCAATTAAAGTGTTGGCCGTGTCGCTGCTCCACGTTTTACAGGGGGATGAATTCTAAGGACAAAACCTCATTACTAAAATGGCCTCCTGCTGGAAGACTGGCCGATTATTAGGATTGTCTGCATTATTTGTGCATTTTATTAAACGAGACTCCACGTTCTTTGGCAATAACCTCAAAATAAAAGCATGCAATTCAATGTTACAGCCACAGAAATAGAGCAGAAAACCTTATTAAATTGTGCATTGAGCTCATTGGTGTCTGTTAAGTACATTTTAACAGGCACTTAGATTTAAGATAATGGAATATCCGGTACAGCCTATTCCTGAAATTATAATTTTGCATCTAACACCATTGTATATGTTTAGAATAATTTGCATATTCAATATTATTTAATGTGCTATGAGCCATGCATTCCAAAACTAATGCAAATAATACACAAGTGACTTCTCCAATTCAAACCCCGTTTGTTCTTTGATTATTGTTGTACAGCAGTGTTAATATTGACCTGATTCTGCCAATAGGATCATTAAATATTAATCTTCTCATCTTTAAAAACCTGGATGAGACATCAACGCTCAGCGCCTCAGTCTGACACATTCAGTGGTGAACAGAGCCGACTAGTGGACAAACTGAGGAGCTGCACGCCAAGCTCACTCCAGGAACAAAGCCACAAAGTCACATGGTGACATGACAATACACAGATGGTGAATCAGAGCTCAGCGTTGAAATATAAGGGTTGAAAACAAAACTAGAATGACACAGTGGGTGCAAATACATCTGCCGAACAGTCTTGTGAAACTGAATTTAAATTCACTGTAGTTAAGAATTTTTATTTTTTCATCAAGATCCATAAATTATTCACTGAGAAATCAACGAAAATGTTGGAGAAAAAAAACCTGGATCCGCACCGAAATGTAATGGGTCATGTCCAACCCCTCCATAGAATTTCACAGAAACTGGTTGAGTATTTTTTGCATAGTCCTGCTAGTTAACAAATCTACAAACGGAGAGAAAAACATAACCTCTTAAGAAAAGGTAACAACGAAAAATAAATCTGTCCGAAAAGAAATAGGGCAACAGGTGTGAGGGCACAAATGACCAACACTGGAAACACATAATTTAGTTTTACATCATGTATTATGGTGTGTATTGCCTTTATTATTATTATAATCAAACACTATATTCCCTTTAGGTTTAATAACAGAGGAGTGGGGCTGCACCATTCAACTGTCACCTGTATAAGCCAGACTCAACTGGGCAGGTGAAGTATAAACTGAGCTCATTGAATGCAGACACCAGTGTTTGGAGGACAAAGGGGACTCATGTAAAGAACACCTTGCAAACTGTTCAGCATTGGGCTGGAGATGACTCTCTGTAGCTGCATGGCACAGGCCAGCCAGAGGTACATGGTAACACACAGCACAGGCTGATGCAGTCAGTAATCACACCTCAAACTATCAAGCGAAAACGTGAAGGTGAAAATAGACTGACTTCTGAGAGACGACAACAAACCAAAGCAGACCCCAAACTCCACCATGAACCACCTCCTGAAACACTTGGCCCTTAAAAGTCCCCTGACCTGAACATCACTGAAGAAAGATCTTAAAGATAGAAGAAGAAATAATCAAATATATCTGGGGATGTGGATGAAAATTCCAAAGTAAAGGTCAGAAAGTTGCTGGATGAAATGTTTGTCACAGGCGTGGTTACAAACTTTTGCCAGAATTAGTGTAATTCGTACTAATGCTACTAATAATACAAATGTATCAGGTATACATTTCAGTTTTGCTGCTTGAACCAACAGTGAATCTCCCCAAACTCCTCCGGCTTGTTGAACCTTCAGATGTTTTTCTCATGTAAAGAAACTCAACTAGTAAATAAACTCAGGTGTTAGCGGTTAGCTTACCTTCTGTGTCAACCCGGAAGCACTTCCCCGTGAGGCCTCTCACGTTTCATCCTGCGGTGTCCGCTTGTTGACATTTGTTTACCAACTCAGTTTGCATTTAATACTTTTTCAAACTGTAATATTCGTGTTCATCGCACGACATAGCGCCAAACACGCGTTTTCAGGAAGCATAACGAATCATTAAAATCGCGTTTTCTGCGGTTTTCCCATTTGAATCAGGGTCACGGCTGAGATCGCGCGTCCCGCGTCTGACGTCACGGGGGATGTCATCCAACAAGATAGTTCCCTTCCGGTTCGTATATATAGACACATAAAACCGAGCGACAAAATAATGTTCAACACGCGTGTAAAGATTTTATAAATGTGACTCTGATCGACAGGTTGTGTGTCTCAACATTTTTAATTATCGAGTGTGGAGTAAAAACACAGCTTTCCCTTCAAAACAACTCCGCCTGAACTCGCTTGTCTAACGGGAAGTGGCCAGAGGCGGAAGTAGGTGGGAGGGACTCCTCCTTACGTGCATGGCCCTCTCACTGCTGTTTTGTGTTGGGGGGATGGGGCCGCGCAGAGGATGAGAGTCTCCACACATTTACCACTTCGCTAACTAAATATCTTTCTTTCCGAGCCGGGCTTCCTCCATCCGCTCCGTGTACATCAACACCCCTTCGACCACGCATGAGTTTCGGTGGGATCCGGCCGAAATAAAGTGGAGTATCCGCACGTCCACGACTCACGCTGAAAAAAAGTCGACAAAATGTATTCCTCTCCCGGAGGTAAGTGCTACGGCTAACGTTAGCATCAGCTAATTGATGCGGCTAGCAAAAGAAAAAATCGACCCACTAGTTGTAGCGCCTTTGCTGCCACATTGCAGCGACTCGTTGCCGAAAGACAGACCTCGGTCCCGCCTCTCAGCCATTTATCATTAAAGTCGAGCGATCATCGTGATTAAGAACATCTCGTCCCCAGTCTTAAGTGGAGGCATTAGGGGGAGAGGTAATCTTAGCTAGCGTGCAGCAACAACGAGCCGCTGTTAGCCCAGTTAGCTTCAGCGGTGCCTCGTTTCGGTAACTTGCTGTTAGCTTTCCGAGGTTGTCTCGTGAGGTGGGATCGACTGGATAATATCGTCTGAGTACATCGCACGATTACAAACACAGATCGTAGTTGTGAGTCTCTCACAGTTTTAGTACTGAACACTGAGTTGAAGCGATGTGTAGCCTGTGATAATGCTATCTAATCTCACCAATCTTAGCTATGCTTGGTTAGCAGTATCGTCTGAAGTGAGGCAGATGTAGCTATGTTGACATTGTTTTTGTCCACGGAATCAATAAATAAACAAATCGCCTTGTTAATGTGACATCGACTGTAGGAGATTGGACATATTAAGGACATTGGTTCAGGTTAGATACAGTTCAACACCTGACAAGCAGACTATGATAGATCTTTACATCATTTCCTGATCAAATTAGTTTTTCTCTGATTCATTCCTTTATTATTCCGGATCTCAAAGATCATATTGTATCTCTGTCACATAGTTACCAGTGTTGTGCTTGTTTGTGTTTATTGATTTCTATGTGTCAGGAGGTGTCTTTCTTGTTTTTTTGTTAATCTGAAATAGGAATTAACATCTAGTATTAGTTTCCTCCCAGAAGAACGGGTGGTTTCAGGCAGAGTCAGATTGCCAGCTTGCACGATCACTCCTGTGTGTATATTGATAAGACTTTCTTAAAAAAGTCGCCCTGATTGTGGATGGAGGCGTTCTGGAAATGATAAGAGAGCTAGACATACTGAGAAGAAGAAAGTGTTTGCTGTGGAAACATACAAGTAAAGATGAGTGGCAATCTAAACTTTGTGCCTCTAGCTACAAAAGGAATTTACCAACGATTTCCTCATGTCTGTTCTTTGTTATGTGATTAAAAGTTCATTTTTACCCCTCTGTATGTGTCAGCACAGTGTGTATCAAGAGGATTTATGTTGTGCAATCATAACATGTAATTTTTTGTCCCCTGTAGCTTCTGAGATGACCGAGGGAGCCCGTTCCTCCGGCTCATTAAGCTCTGGTAAGCGCTTCCCATATTTGGGCCATAAAGTCTTTAACTGGTCTCTGCAGTGGGCCGGTTTAAGTGGCCAACTGCATTACGCTTTTTCTAATCTTTCTATTGTCACAGTCTTTCTCATTCAAAGTACATTTGAACTGTCTGACCGAATATTGAAACTGTCCCGGAAATAGTACACAGGTAATGTGGTGCCACAGATGAGATTCTGAAGGAGACGACGTTGTTTCAGATTGACAATTTCCTTTTAAAAGCACCCAATTTTGCGCTGTTAGACACTGAAGGCCATTCAATAATGCCTGCCATATATTATTAGGTTTTATGGGTGTTAGTCTGCGTGAATGAACAGTGCTGGAGCACAAAGATAAGGCACAGAGGAGATTGAATAGAGTGCTCTCTCGGTCTGACCGTAGCATCTGAAGTTGCAGATATGGAGCTTCTTGGTTCAGCATGTTGACCAATGATGAACGCTTATAACATCATGTCCAGGATGACACCTCAAGCGGTTTAAAAGGAACAGACTGCCTCTGATTCGGCTGGTGGGAAAGTTCACATACTCGCATATAATAGCTAAGAGCATCCTGCATCCTGGATCCTAAATGCATCCTACAAATCCTACAATCATGCTTTTGTAAACAGTGTATTGTTTTCTGACACTGAAAACAGTTAAGATTAAAAATATTAAGACACGTCTGCCATATTCCTGAGTTTTCTGTCAAGATCAGTTGAAAAACGCACACAACACTCCTTGTTTATGAGATCAAGAAATATTGTACGCTGGTTTAAATATTGTGGCAAATGTCTCATCTATCAATTTGAACTTTTTAGATCCCCCATCTTCACCGGTGCCAGAATATGTGTTCAAGCCACCATCTCGGCCAGACTTTGGCACCATGGGCAGGACAATCAAGCTCCAGGCCAACTTCTTCGAGATGGAAATCCCCAAACTGGAGGTCTACCATTACGACATCGACATCAAGCCTGAGAAATGCCCCAGGAGGGTCAATCGGTATATACACACACGTGGTTATTTAGCAGCTGCTTGCATGTGGTGAATCTGCGTTGGAATGATTCGGGCTCTGTGGTAATTTATTTGTTGCATTTTGTTCCCAGGGAAATTGTGGAGCACATGGTCCAGCACTTTAAAACACAGATCTTTGGTGATCGAAAGCCAGTGTATGATGGGAGGAAGAATCTCTACACTGCCATGCCCTTACCTATAGGCAGAGACAAAGTATGTAGCCCACATGACAACCAGCAATAAAGTCTCCACTTCTGGAGGAATTGCATAAAAATCTGTGAAAAAATGTTGTTTATTTATTTTCTGTCCCATGTGCCACACAGGTAGAGCTCGAAGTGACCATTCCAGGTGAGGGCAAAGACCGCAGCTTCAAAGTATCCATCAAGTGGATGTCCTGCGTTAGTCTTCAAGCTCTGCACGAGGCACTGGCAGGGCGGCTTCCCAGCGTCCCCTTTGAGACCATTCAAGCCTTGGATGTGGTCATGAGGCATTTGCCCTCAATGAGGTGGGTCTTAGATTATTGAACATTGTTTCATGTATGAGTGATGGGTTGTCGTTATAGGTTTTTATTTGATTCTACTATTTTGTTACACCAAGAATTTTTCATCATTAAATTTTCTGAGCACAGTTTTTTTACTTGAGGCAGAGCTTTTTTACATAACAATAAATTTTTTCTGTGTCTTTATTAAGTGTCTTTCCTTCACCTTGTTCATCGAATGCTGTCCGTTTCTCTTAACATGTTAATCAGGTTTCATTTTTTTCTGTTTATAGGTATACCCCAGTAGGCCGTTCTTTCTTCACTCCATCAGAGGGATGTTCGAACCCCCTCGGTGGTGGCAGAGAGGTGTGGTTTGGCTTCCATCAGTCTGTCAGGCCTTCCCTCTGGAAAATGATGCTCAACATTGATGGTAATTTTCACGTCGCTCTTGCAAAGGTTGTGTAAAGTAATGGTATTTCTGTGAATCTCATCTCTGTGTTCTTGTTTTGCTTGCAGTTTCAGCCACTGCATTCTACAAAGCCCAGCCTGTAATTGAGTTCATGTGTGAGGTCTTGGATTTCAAAAGCATTGAAGAACAACAGAAGCCCTTAACAGACTCTCAACGAGTGAAATTTACAAAGGAAATCAAAGGTAAGTAAAGTTCAGGAGCTCGTTGGGTAAAGACTTTTTTTAATTTAGTAGGGTTTTCTAGGTGAAGTGTCTGGTGAAGTTTAGTCATATTTTTGTCATTATGTGTTTTTCTGTTTGTTGCCAGACAGTGGAACAAGAGTGAAATAGTGACGTAAATAAGACAATTGAGACGACATGTTCACCAGCTTTTCCAAAGCTTTGGCTCTTGTCTTCTAAAATCTTGATTATATAACAGCAACATCATCTGTCAAAATCCCCCATACACACATGTTAGGCAAAGATGGAGGCTGTACTGTCATTTCAGCCACAAAATGATGAGTCAGAGAGAAACAAAGTGAGACGCTCATTCAGGTCCAAAAAGACTCTAGACTTGGCTTTGAAAATCTGGTAAATATAGCGACAAAGGTGCTAAATTGGCGGAACTGCAGATGAACCTTCCCCTTAATATAAACTGTGCATGCAATTCATTTTTGAAAGATCAATAGAAAGTGTGGAAATTCCCAACTCTTGTCTCATCTGTCCAGGTCTGAAGGTGGAGATCACTCACTGTGGGCAGATGAAGAGGAAGTACAGAGTCTGCAACGTTACCAGAAGACCTGCCAGCCACCAAACGTAAGAATGAAGTGTTGATGCACATCATTTAAAATGCATATTGATGAAGGAGGGTATGATAATCCATGGATAACCGCTGTGACGATTCTATGAAAAGTCTGCAAATTCAAAATGATCATCAGGCATATTGAGTGTTTCATTTATTCATTCCCTTAGATTCCCTCTGCAGCAGGAGAACGGCCAAACTATTGAATGCACAGTAGCACAGTACTTCAAAGATAAGTACAAGCTCATCTTGCGATACCCCCACCTCCCATGTCTACAGGTGGGACAGGAGCAGAAGCACACCTACCTACCTCTCGAGGTAATTATCAACGTCTTGTGCTCACAATATCTGCTTTCACTAGAGTGACCTTATTCACGTGTTTTGCTTTGTGCGTCCACTCCAGGTGTGTAACATAGTGGCAGGACAGCGCTGCATTAAAAAACTGACAGACAATCAAACATCCACCATGATCCGTGCCACAGCCCGATCTGCACCAGACCGTCAGGACGAGATCAGTAAACTGGTGAGTCATTGTGAGATAAATGTTCATAAACGCAGCACACAAAATAAGCTGTGTGTGAAAGGTCCACTGTCTCAAATCTTAAAAGGCATTAGTTGTTTAAAAAACCTTGTTTTCCACAGGTTGGACAATGTTTCTGTACCAGAGTGACACAGTAAACAGTAGAAATGTTGACATTGTGCTGTTTCATGCCAGGGTTCATCAATAGTGGTTGCCCGGTGATCTGGTGCCTGTAGCAAAAACAAGTCAAGGTGATACAATCACGAGCTTGCTGAATACATGACCCAAAAAACCCCAAACAACAAAAGCTTGTAAAATCAATGGTTGTAGCCGGGGCCCCTGACACATGACTCCCCACACCAGAGAACTTTGAAACATGCACATGTGACAGCTGCTGCTGCCAAACAAATATTCTTACCAACCAGCTGTCGGTATTCCTGACTGTCACGACCACAGCTCCAGACTAGGCACTGCAATAATACATCTATTATACCTTTTCTTGACAGTTCCTGTGTATATTGGTAATTTCTCAACTAGGGCTGGGTATAGCCACTGAGTTCCAAAATTTGATTCCAGATTTCATTCAATATTAGTTCATTTAAGGATATTTCATTTTATAATACCAATTTTTCCTGGATGTACTTCGCATATGCCCACTGTTGCTTTGTCTCATGAGAATGTGCCAGAAATAATAACAACAAAAGTGGCTATAGAATCTAGGTCTAATTACAAGTTTGCAGCAAAATGTAGCATTACTGCACCACATTTCCTGAATTCACAGTCGTCTGCCCAATATTACTTGGGCCACTGCGTTCTCCTCTGGAATTTGAAGGATTATTAATTATCGGAACCTACTAGCCCAGGATTCTTGTTCAAGTGCTTGTAGGCATTTTGGTGTTCTTGTCTGGACGGAGATATTTTATGTAAGGATGGTTGTTTGGACAGAGATTCTCTGAAATATGGAAGGAAAAATATCTGTTCCAAAAATACCTGTAGCAGTACAGACAAGGCATAAATTGTTTTTTTTACTATTGTCTGATATATCAGGAATACTTTTGAAGAAAATTTAACTGAAATTAACTGTGAATGTTAGTTTGCAGGTTTTCAGATGAAGTGTAAGGTGAGAAAATTCACATTTTATTTTATTTTTTCAGATGAGAAGTGCCAATTTCAACACTGACCCTTACGTTCGTGAGTTCGGAGTGATGGTGAGAGACGAGATGACGGAAGTGAACGGGCGAGTCCTACAGGCACCCTCTATCCTGTATGGAGGCAGGGTACGTTGAGCACCTGCTGATGAACCCCTCATGCTCTTTATTTCATGCAGCCCATCCATTGGTATTAAGTTATATTTATAACCTCGTGTTCTATTAGCTCTCATACGGCTGCTGTTCTTACAATTTGCAGAACAAAGCAATAGCCACACCTATCCAGGGAGTATGGGACATGAGGAACAAGCAGTTCCACACTGGCATCGAGATCAAAGTGTGGGCCATCGCCTGCTTCGCACCACAGAGACAATGTACTGAACTCCTGCTCAAGTAAGTGCAGCTTCTCCAGCAAACCGTTGCTCTTTGTTTTGTATTTAACAGGTGGTGAGCATAGACAAGGTCATGAAACATACCTTTTAAAGAAGTGTACCATCACAAAGGTGCATTTACCTTATTAAATTCAATAGGTGTCAAGTGAGATCTATTACTTGATGCAAAGCCTGATTTTCAAATGTTGCAGCACATGTGGTTGTCGTACCCAATTTTTGCTTCTGTTTTAAGAGCACATGCACAACTGTGCCATGCATTCTATGATGCATAAGCCAGGCTTTGTCATTGTTTTTACGTACGTAACTGTATCTAGAGTATTTTACAAGCATCATCATGTTGCTGCCAAATATAGTGCAAGAAAGACTGGCAGACTCAGTTTTATCTAGGTGTCAGATTTTCATTTCAGTCCTTGACCTGCTCTTGATTTTGGTGCGATGTGGCTCTGTCTTTTTATTTTGTCTTCATCCAGCGCTCCATTATCAGTCATATTGTCTAAACTGAACTGCCACAACTCTGAATTATGAATAAAAAAAGTTCCTCATCTGTCTCAGAGCTTTCACAGATCAGCTGAGGAAGATCTCCAGGGATGCAGGGATGCCCATCCAGGGTCAGCCTTGCTTTTGTAAGTACGCCCAGGGAGCGGACAGCGTGGAGCCCATGTTCAGGCACCTCAAGTACACCTACCAGGGCCTCCAGCTGGTGGTGGTAATCCTGCCTGGGAAGACGCCTGTCTACGGTGAGGGGTCCACTACTACTACTACTGTTTGCATTGAAAGAGATGTTTCCTTCTTCCCAAGATAAGACACATAATATTAATTTAAAGCCTAAGAAATGAATTCTTGTGAAGTGCTTGTATCCAACTTCGTTTAAGCTGTGAACATTCTGCTTATTCTTCAAATTAAGATTTCAAACAGTTAGTGCTGCTTACAGTAAGATAACTGTATTTATGTAGTTTTTGAACCATAGACTTTCTCAACATTGATTTATTGTTTGTTAAAGCCTGAATATATAAACAACATCTGAATGATAAGTCAAAGTTGGAATGCATAATGGGTTAGTTAAAAAACAAATGTGTTATCACTGATTGATAGCACAAACTAATTGTTTCTATGGCGAGGCAAAACTTTCACAAACTAAATCAGTGAGGATTTGTGCGACCGGAGTGCGTTTTATTTGAAGCCTTGACAGTTGCTCTGGGGAATCCCAACCTGTTGCTTCTATTTCTGCTTGAGGAGATAACCATGACGAAACAATGACTAAATCAACGTTCTTTCTGTGATCCTGCCCATCTGCTCTACTGTTCCCTTCCCAACTCACTGTCATTTAAACATCATTGAAACATCTCTTTCAATCGTGCATAACAGCCAAATTAAACCACTGTCAGGTCACTTGTGGGTTGGACCAAACCATGCTTCCAGTTCTCTATGGCTGTGACTGGTCAGTGTAGTAGTGTTTAGTTTATTGATATCTTTTTGTCTTTGTGTCGTAGCTGAAGTGAAACGTGTCGGGGACACTGTGCTCGGCATGGCCACTCAGTGTGTGCAGGTGAAGAATGTTCAGAAGACAACACCTCAGACTCTCTCCAACCTCTGTCTGAAGATCAATGTGAAGCTGGGTGGCGTCAATAACATCTTGCTCCCACAGGGCAGGTTTGTGGAAATACTACTACACTAATTGAAATCCTGAAAGTAAAACGATAAAGCCCACAGTTTGTCTCATGAGTCTCATAAGCAAAATGTTTGTGTTTTTCATTGCACCTTTGTATTTGCTCCAGGCCGTTGGTGTTCCAGCAGCCAGTAATCTTCCTCGGTGCAGATGTGACTCATCCCCCTGCAGGAGATGGAAAGAAGCCTTCCATTGCTGCTGTAAGTAACATTACAACACAACAAGAACGTAGCAGCTTCCAAAAAAGTGAGGTGCAATCATTATAGCTAAAATCACAGAGAATAACCAATCATCCCTGCAGCTGTTGAGCTTCTTTCGGCTAATTGCATTAGTTTAATGGTCTCCACATTTTCTTAAAGGTTGAGTTTCAGCTGCTCTCATCAGTCGGTATATGTTTCAAGCAAGAATCCACTCCTACCTGCCCAGCTCAAAGATACACTCGAGTTCCAGAGATTTGTTGGAGACTAACACTTCGCTGCACAGTGACACAGTGGCCAGAAACAGTGTTGTCAAATCAAAATTAATTTAGCTTTCACTGAGTCTGCTGGATTTGAAAGTAGGCAACTTTTGTTAAAACATCAGCGAGTAAGTAAGATGAAATATAATTCCCCATTAAACAAGTTGTTAAAATTAATCAAAACGTATCATTTTCATTCCATTTACATTTATATTCTAGATAATTTTGATTTATTCCTAAAGATATTTGCTCTTCCTCTTCAGGTTGTTGGTAGTATGGATGCCCACCCGAGCAGATACTGTGCCACAGTCCGGGTGCAGCAGCACCGTCAGGACATCATCCAGGACTTGGCCACCATGGTGAGGGAGCTTCTCATTCAGTTCTACAAGTCCACCCGCTTCAAGCCCACAAGGATCATCTACTACCGCGATGGCATCTCAGAGGGCCAATTTAACCAGGTGGCGTGCATATTGACGATTTTGCAGAAACTATTGACTAAATAGTGTTTCTGATTTCTTCCAAATCATCTTCATATAATTTCAGCTTATTAATCTTTTATATATTTTGACTTGCACTCATGCAGGTTCTTCAGCATGAACTGCTGGCAATCCGTGAGGCCTGCATCAAACTAGAGAAGGACTACCAGCCCGGGATCACCTTTGTCGTCGTGCAAAAGAGACACCACACAAGACTGTTCTGTATGGACAGAAATGAGAGGGTCAGTATTGCATCATTGAAATGAATTTGAATATTGATTGTTTTATAGCCAAACTCTATAATGAGAGAGCCCATTGCCACCTTGTTTGAATTTTTCTTGGCACTAAGATATGGTTACTTTTGAAAACTAAAACACCAGTAGATGCATCAAACCCAGTCATTGTAAAGGTGTCTCAGGAAATGTATTTTATTTTTGGCACTAACACATTTTTTGTGTATTACTGCAGGTTGGGAAGAGTGGAAACATCCCTGCAGGCACCACAGTGGATACGAAAATTACTCACCCATCCGAGTTTGACTTCTACCTTTGCAGTCATGCTGGAATTCAGGTAAAAATAGGATGAGGATCCAGTGTAACTGAATAACCAAGTTAAGCACAGCGCGTTCCTCTGAATTCTTTTAGAAAAAGGAATACAAATTTATTAGGATTATCAATGGATCAATGTTTTCCGATTTGAATTTTGGTTCAACATCTGTCCTTCATTGTTCCTCCTTGCAGGGCACCAGCCGGCCATCTCACTACCACGTGCTCTGGGACGACAACCACTTCACTTCAGATGAACTGCAGGTTCTCACCTACCAGCTTTGCCACACTTACGTGCGCTGCACCCGGTCAGTTTCCATCCCAGCACCAGCCTACTACGCCCATTTGGTGGCTTTCCGCGCTCGCTATCACCTGGTGGACAAAGAGCATGACAGGTAAGAACTCAATTGCATTTGCTGTATTGCAAACCTGGACTGTAAACCTCACACAATGGACTCTAATTTTAAACTTTTAAACTCAATTTCAGTGCTGAAGGAAGTCATACCTCAGGCCAGAGCAATGGGCGCGACCAGCAAGCCTTGGCTAAGGCCGTTCAGATCCACCAGGACACGCTGCGCACCATGTACTTTGCCTGAGAGCACACAACCCCAGGGTGGCGTGGGTGAGACTGATGGAACACACTACCATATTTCCCCTGCTGCCTCTCCGTCAGCTCTAGATAACATCACAGTGGTTTTACATCGTGATCTCCCTTCTTAACAAACCTGTCAGTTACCCATACATCTACAATTGTACTTGAGCCCCTAACCCACCCAAACCAAGCCAGCTATTAGACTAAGATGCAAAAGAGTCCCTCTTCCATGGGGGTTGAGTTAGAGGAGGTTCAATTTACATGTTGTGACATGTTGTGCATTCGTGTGTGTTTGTACTTGTTGTAGGGGAATATGTTGCAAAGTCTAAGAGGAAGAGAAAAAGTTTTTACACTGATAGGTGAAATCTACCATTTCTAAACAAGTGGGAATTAACATTTTACATTGGGGAGGTTTCTAATTAAGAATAAGCTGTTCACCTTCCTCCTGTTTATTATTTTGTCATGGTCTTGGTGCTTGAAAGGAGAAGGAGACGTCAAAAAGATGGGGGGGTCCCGTTCACTGTTTATATGCCTGATGTTTCGCTCCTCTGACAAACGTTATTTATCAGCCAATCAAAGCAAAGTGCACTGACCAGAGTGGGTACTTAACCAGGACAAAAGTACTTAATATATTGAGGATTGTGTGTGATTTTTCACATAGGGCACTATGTGATGAAAAGTGCCATTTAAGACCATCTTTCTATCGTCATTTCTATGTAAAAACGATGAAATATTTGTCCCACATCTGCTGGGTTTTCAGTATTTGTCCTTGATTGACCTTGATGATCATTTTATGCCAAATCTGGTGACAACTTACAAAAGGATTCCTTGAGTCAGATTTGTTTTCAAACCTCGAACCAACCGTTCGTTCTAGATGGGGTGGCATTTAGTGTCCAGATTTGAAGAGCAGCAGTTTTATCCTCCGGAACTGATAACGTTGCCCCAGTGATTCCCATACGAGAACTAGTGTATTGGGACTGGATCCCAACAAGGACTCCTTTCTAATGTACTCTGAGCCATGTTGATAAAAACACACACGATGTAGAAATCAACATAGAAGGGAGCTTGATGAAATCAGTTTCCCTCCCTTCCGTTTTATAGTCTATTTTAATTTCAATCATTTTATTTTGTAATGAATATGCATGTAGCTGACTCATCTTTTAGACATTTAGGCATTTGTGACAATTGTTCCTTTCTCCTACTTGTACACATTAACCCTTCTTCGGCAGAATAAGCGTTTTCTGCAGTGTCTTTGTCGGAGCAACGTTTGCGTGGCGTATCGATATCCAGGCGTACGGTACAGTGGAGTGAAAGCTGAGTTTAACTGATTGAAATTTCCTTTAAAAAAACTCTTGAATTATAGTGTTTTGCTCCGGGAAACGAGAGCAGTCGTCGCACAAAAGCTTGGGTTTTATGCAAATGACTTTTTGTGAGTCTTTATACTATATATAGTAATGTTGGTATTAAGGTATATTTTGAATAAGCTTTCAGTGAAGGCTGCTGAAAATACTATAAAGTTTTTTGTTTTTTTTAAAGTGAATGGCCCACATGTAGTCTAAATTAACACTGTCTATTTGTATACAGATTTTAAATGCAAATATCCTCTTGCCTTTTTGAGACTGTTACAGTCTTACTAATAATTCTAGACATTTCCTAACACCCCACCTAAGTTTTACTACTAAGTTAAGCTGGCGAATGTTCACAAAGTCCTGATCAGAGGCAAGTAGTCTATTTCTAACTATGCATCATTTTTAACCAAGAGATTTAACAGTGGGTTAACTCACAGGAATTTAGGTCATTTATAGAGGTAGATAATCAGGGCCTTTTTTTTGTTATTGTTGTTTTTTAGCATGTTGCATTTAGTAGCGTTTCTTAGTGCTTATCAGCATCTTCATGCCTCTCTAATGGGATGAAGTATTTATGTGGTTATTTGTAACATTGTAGATTTTATAACCTTTAAAAAAAATTGGGTGTATCCTTTTTAACACACGATCTTTCTTAGCCAAACAAGATTACAAACTTTTACATGATTTAATAATCAAAAGACATGGAAGCACAACAAGACATGTTGATCTCTAGGTGCTAGAAGTTTTCACTGTAAACCACCTTTAAAATCCTCACTGGATTTTGTCCACAGAGCTTTTTCCTCGTACGCTAAAGGAAGCTTCATCATTTCGAGGGTTTTTTTCTTCTCTTTCCATTTGACGACCTCTCCGTGTTACCCTCTTAACTCATTACCTGTAAAGCAACTAGAAAAGCCGACTGACTGTGTTTGTGGGGCATTCTGAAAAAAAAAAATATTCACGTACTTGATATTTACTGTTATGATGTCAATATTGTTCTTATGGGTGCTGGTCTCACATGTAGATTTGGATGCACTTTTGATAGCAGAACATTGGTATGACTTCTATAAATGTAGTTCCTCATTCCAAGCTGGAGACTCAGTCATATTGTGTGACACTGGCGTAATTGTATGGAAATGGCCGTGTGTTCTACCTCTTGTTACCTGTTTTAAGTGTTATGGTAACATCACAACACTGGCCATTTCTGTATAATTACCCCTGCTATCTCTCTAATTGGCATTGTTTGAGTCTTGCATTTACAGCAGAGGTTTTAAACGCTTGGCGTGCGTGATGTCGAACGTGCTTTTCTTAGTTTGTCATTGTGATTTTTAGTAGTTTTACTCAAACTGATAAGAGAGAATGTCTTTTTTTTTCCCTTTGTTAGTGGTTTTGAGCATCAAGCTGTACGACCAAATCCCTGAAGTGTGTTTGTATTCACAAACAGCTTTCCCTGCATTTGTTCCTTTAATTCTATGCACCAATGAAGTGACGGACATTTGCTCGACACATGCGTTTTTCCACTAGAGAAGTGTAACAGCGAATGCAGAGCTCACATTGGGTGAGTGGTGCTGTTCGTCAGACTATTAAAGTTGCTTGAGAGCGCAAAAGAAACGAGAAAGCGGCTGTTCCGAGGATCAGCCTGAGAACTTCAAGTCAATAGATGTTTTTAACGCTGCAAAGTAAATCTGATTGGGTCATATTCACCACAGAACATGAATTGATTCTGTTTATGATGTTTAATTACTGAAGTACACTTAAGTACAAAAGTACAAAGCTCTGCATTCTGTGATGTGAATGTCCTCCTCTCTGTGTGAATGCAGGCCTTTATGATGCTGCCACAAGCATCCACATGAGTTCATGTACTCGAATGTTCAGTCTCTCAAAGGGATGCCTGGGTGTTTGTGGTTTAGTTGGCATTGGTCTTCTCCAGAAAATGCCTGAGTGACATTTTGACCACAATAATAACGGGTGTCCCCAAAAAGTAATTAGCTTAATCCAAACATCAGGATGTCATTTAGGAGACGTGTTTACTTGTTGTCATTGCTTCTTTTGTTTGTTTGTTTTATTTGTTTGTTTTTTTCATTACCGATACCAGCACCTTAAAAATACCATATGACAATGGCATTGCTTTTTTTCCTGGAGATAAAACTCAAAACATTTGACAAATGTTACTTTTGCACTAAACAAGAATGGACTTTGTACCTGTCGCAGCATTAAGAGTATTATCAGGTGGCAGAATGGCAGACATTTATTTTCCTCCTTTTCGTTTGTTGTTCAGAAAGCAGCAGTTGGCATTGGTGGCTTTTCAAAATAAAAGATGCACAGAACCTCAAATATGTGCGCTCGTCGAGCCAACCAGCATCTAGCATGGAATCTTTCAAAAAATAAATTTCCCGATGCCTTTAAATGTTAATGAAAGAGTGAAACTTTGTAGTCGTGTGGGTGGGTTGCCTTTGCATAGTGATGTTGGAGAAAGGTGCTTCATACGAAAACAATCGTGACAGGATGAGGTGAAAATAACCAGTTGTGGATGATGTTTGTTGGAGATGTGATACCAAAGTGCTGTGCGAGGAGTAAAGTGCAGGTTTTACACGGTCCTTGTTGAAGTCGGCAGTGTGCATAGGATCATACTGAAACCAGCCATGTCGGACATATCGATATTCAGAAGAGGCTTTATACCTTTTTCATTAATCTGCCTGAACATGAGCGAAATTGAGAATGTGTTTGAAGTAGGGATGTCACAATACAAAAATTTAAGTTGTCGATACCGATGCCATGAGATTTCCATGATTCCCGATAGGCAGTGCGATACCACTGCAAAAAACAATAAATATCATTTACTTCATCACATTTGAACATACAAAAAACAGCGGCTATGTAGCCTTCAAGTTATAAATAGTTTTTTTATACACAGTCGGAAAAATAATGAGATTTCAGTTATCAGGTACTGTAAAATAAAGAGTACCCTGATTTTAGAATTTTGGAAGTATTGGTGGCATCCCTAGTTTGAAGAAACAAATACACCAGCCTGGATGAATGTGGCACTGCTCTCTCAGTAAAACAGGGCCCAGGGTGCTTAGGTGTCTATAATACCGGCAGCGGAAACCATAATTATTACGCAACATTTTTTTTTTATCAGACACATAAATTAAATGCACACATCAACCTCAGTTCAGCTGTTTCTTACGTAATCTGGAGTGGACAGAACCAGGACAAAGCAGGTTCTTCAAATGGCTGATTTGTAAATAACACACTATATCATAAGATCTTTTTTTTCTGCAGATTTCTCGTCAATGTCTGTGTGTTTAAAATTTCGGGTTGAAACAGTGATCAGCCTGTTTACTGACTGGCTTTTGAATGGTTTGGGAATTTTAAAAAAGCTTGATTTCAAATGATGCGACACCTTCTACACAAGTTTATTCCAAACCCTTTACCCACCGTGTACTAATGTCTTTCCTCCCATCCCCTTCCTTTAGAGAAACTATTGCTGACATAAAGAAACCTCTTGTAGAGTCAGACCTATTTTCCTAGCTCCAAATAATAACAATGAATGTACTTAGAGCCTGCGTGGTTTGTAATATTGTATAGGCTATCCATCCAGTAAATCTATAGTCATGTTTGCATCTCGTGTACAACCTTTTCTTTTCTCTTTATGCCGTTTTTTTAATTTATAGGCTTTAACCTTCTTAGGTTGCAGAAAGTATTGTTTTCTTAGATATTTCATGAACTCAGATCTGGCCCACGTCACAGCTTTTATATTTATCTTCTCACTGTGAGACGAGGAAGTCTGCAGTTGTCTTTGTCTGGGTGTTGGCTGCTGTAGTTTTTAGGAGGCCAACGTTTTCTAACTGGTGCAAAGAGGGGACATCTTTCCCGTGCTTGAGTGGAGCTGTAACATAAGAGCCGTGTGCTTATATACGATGGTTGCTTTTGTGTGGGATCTTGTTTGCTGTTGAATATTTTTGTCTTCTACTTCTTTCTGTCTGAGCAGAGCTATCATGTAAAGATCATGTCAAATCCTCCCTGAGTTTGATTCACTAACTCATTAGCGCTGTGCCACTTGAAAGCGTGTTCTGTCCCATACTTTTGTTCATTGTATTCCTACGCAGCAGTTTTTTCCCCACATTTACGACAGCTTTACAGGCGCTCTGCTGGATGCAGCGGGGTTCCTGTTCCTATGCCTAGGTTAACCTTTTCGAAGCATCACCTTGTCCATGAGTGTTTATCATGCCATGTCCATCCAGTTAGCTGCAGCCGTTTGACACCAGTGTGGTATCAAGGTTTTCAGATACAAGGTTTGCCTCTGTTGTTGTTTTTAGCTACAAGTCTGAATTATTAAGTATAAATTCAAATGGGTTTCTAGCAGACCTGATGAAATTACCTCTCACGTCCAGCACGTGCAGCTTCTTCATGTTTTCACTGCCTCTCAGTCGTTCAGTCCTCAGCTTTGGTTTAAAATGTTTTAATGGATCAGAAAATCATCCCACTGGAATAAGTCTAAAGATGATGCATCTACATTCCAAAGCATAACTTATTCAATATTTTGTACACACATTAACCTAAGTTCCCCAGAAAATAACCCCCCTCGATTTGGGGGAGCCCTTAACTTTTCATTTTGTGTCATAATTGGTTCAAAATGTGAACTTTTCCACCAGTTTTAGTTCATGATCAAAAACCTTTAAAAGTTACATTCATGTTGTCAATATGGTTAAGTTAATCCAACTTAACATTAAAAGTTGGCTTAATGAGTGTGAGCATGTTAGTCCACTAACTTAAGCATTCATCTCAAACAACTGCTGACCTTTAAGCACACAGCTGCTCGCCTGTCTTTCGTTTTACAAGCGGCTTGAAACTCATCTGCAGCTCATTTGTACTCTGTGACAACAAATGAAGCTAAAGCTGATTTTTAAATAATTTTAACAATACACGATTACAACCTTCGACCTTTTGGCACCTGACAAAGACGGTGGATGCTCTCAAGAGTCAACTCAGCTGAGACTCGGTCACACTGAACCAAGATGTGACAAAGCTGCCTGTGGTGGATGTCGGGGGTTTTGCTCGGGGCTACAGTGAATCTGACCTTGAGAGAACCGCTACCAAGCTTCACCAAACCTAACCAATGCCATCCAGTTGATTTACACGCAGCCAATCGTGCAAGACTTATGGCAGTGTTTTTTTTCTTCTTTTTCTTGTCCTCAGAATGACTTGGCTTTTTATTTACCAACTTGGAAAAAACTACCTCAGAGCAGTGTCAGGTGCTAGCTAAATATCCCTAATTTATAACAGTGGTAACAAAATCAAAAATTGTAGTGACCAAACCAATACAAGCCAATATCTCATGAGAGCGCTGTTATTTTCTTGAACCTTAGAAAATGGTAAACCAAGTAATCGTGTGTGACTGGTCGGTTGCTTTAGAGACATGTTAGGGGACCAAATTTTTGTAATCGGGAGTCTCAGTCGTTTCATTTAAGTCCTTTTGTTTTTCAACTGGCAGCGACAGAAAATAATCAAGCACAAATAAGGACTCATTCGTGCAGTGAAATAAACTATGGGCAAGACTGCATCATATGTTAACAAATTACTTTTAACTATGAGAGTGTGTTGATATTCCAGATACATTTTGGTGATGTAGAGGAATGTTTTTAGTGGCGATGAGGGTTTTCTTGGAAAGATGTATGTACAGCAATAATGTCAGAGTGAGAGCTACGAGTTGTTGGTAATTATTTGTTCATCTTTACATCAGTTTGTCGTGTTAACGCAGTTTAAGGCAACGCTAGAGAAACATTTTAGACTTTTAGTCAACAGAACACTTAGCAAATGGATAGACATGTGGAAACCAGCTTTTCTGTGTTTGCTTTAAAAGATTATTGAAATATTCAGATAGTCGCTCCATGTGATCAAATGCCTCCATATTTCTCTGTCATGTTAAACCCAGTACTGCAATAAAATCAGGACTGAATGTCCCTGGCTCTTATTCAGTTAATTTCCCCCTTTTTTCCTACGATTACCAAAACTCAACGCCATTTTTGATTTGGGTTTGAGATATAGTTTTGCATGCAACAATTAACAAAGGGAATATACACATTTTACCGGACTTTACAATGAATCAGAATCATTGTAAACATCAGCGAAAGGTACATATGAGGTTGTGTGGTGGTAAACGTCAGGTTGTTGTCATTTTAGTGTGAACTGAAATCATCCAGTTTGGCGATAGTCGATTTTAATGTGTGCCTTTTGTGGGTTTTTCTGAGTCCTTCATTCAAACATACAAATATCTGCTGCGCCACATGAAAACAAATCTATTTCCATTTTTTAATTATCATACGACCTTTCGTGTAGATGCTGCATAGAACGATCAGTATTTGTGTTTTGCACTTTCAAAGCAGTCTCAAAAAAAAAATGTCCATGTGAGGATGGGCAGAAAGTTGAAAAAAAACAGACGAGGTATTTTATGCTATCAATAGGAAATATAAGGAATAATATGACTTTGAAGAGCTTTTCTAAAAAGGTTGATATATCTATATATACTCATGAAGTACCTCACAAGCCTGATATATGCTGCATTGACTTTTTTCTTTAGTGTACTTCACATTTTTCAAATACAATTTTAATTTTTACCCTTTTGGGAGGGTTGAATGTCACTACAGGCTGTGCAAATGCCACAACCAGTTCATCTGAATAGTCTGTCCTTACAGAGGAGTGTGTTATCCCCTGTGGCCAAATGATAATTAGTCATTTATGCAATTTATACTCTATAATCTCATCAGAATATTTCTCAGCTGTAGCCAAGTCTCTTTGTGCTGTCTTTCTTTTTTTCTTTTTTACATCTTCCCTGTGTCTGTGTAGCCAAAAACATTGGGTTTATTTGACAAAGAGTTGACATTTAGTGAGCGTCCTGCCGAGGCTCCGTGGTTTAAAACAACTGTTGACTCAGGTATCGCCGTGAAAGGGCTGTATCTGTTTACTGTGTCCCTGTCCCACACTCCCCCTCTGCACCTTTGTCTTAAAATAGCCTTAGATCTTTAGTGAGGTTCCTATTTGGCCTTAAAAGTTGAACAAATTCCAGTATGCACTACAATTCCACAGACTTGACATCGAGCCCGACTCCTGTTCAGACACATTTCTGAATGTGTGTTTTTTTCTGCCCTGTTATCTACCTCCTCTGAATGTAGGGGCTGTCCTGGAGTTGGAGTCGATTGCAAAACCTTTAGATTTTCTCGTTCACTCAAAGAAAACAGACAATCATCTGTAGATTCTTAAAAAGTATAAAATTCATCCCCGTGTTCGTTCTGTCTTTGAACTAATTCCAGGACACTCCATTTCTCCTGATGCTTTTTTTCCCCTCCCCACTGTCATTGGCCATTGCCATTTTTACATTGTGCGATTTTTAATTTTTGTTATTGTAAGCCATGATGGAGAAGCAAAGTGACCAAAGTCTCTTGGCAAAGGCAGCCCTGCACAGCCGTGTGAATTCAAACCTCCCTTTATTTGTGTCCTTTTGAGCTCAACTTTTGAGTTGTTGTTTTATTTCCTCTCTTCTCTCTCTTCCTCTTTCCTCCATTATTTAAACCACGACATGCCAAAACTGAATTTGCTGTCATTCCTGTTCTGGTGAGGGTCTTTTTGCTGATTTTTAATTTGTTCACATCCACTGCTAAGCTCCTTGTTCTTGTTGTTGTAAAGTTGTAAGCTTTTTGATTTCTATTTTACATTTCCTTATTTTATTTTATTTTGTTAACAATTATGCTTACAGAACACAAGATATGCTGTAAAACCCTGTTAGAGGACATAATGTGAATACGTATCACTTAATGTAGTTCACTCTTTGGCTTGACTGTAAGTTGCTAT